AGCCTGCGGAGCGGTGGGCGCCGGAGGGGCCGGGCGGCGAGCGGGGGCTCCTCGGAGGGTGCGGGCGGCGTCCGCCGGGGCCGCCCTCGGGCCATGATCGACTCGGTGAAGCTGCGCCGCGACAGCGCGGCGGATTTCTTCTCGCACTACGAGTACCTGTGCGCGCTGCAGGACTCGGTGCCGCTGCCCGCCGTGCGCGCTTGCCTGCGGGAGGGCGTGCTGGACTTCCACGCTGACCGCCTCCGCGTGGTGGACTGGGCGCCCCTCCTGAGCACCCTCAAGATTAATAAAGACCTGCCCCTCATCTCCATCAAGAGCTCCTTCCAGCCGTGGCTCGGGGAAGCAGGTTCGTAGTTCCCGCTTCCAGCGCCCCTGGGTCTGCCGCGACGTGGGTGTCTAGACAGGTCCAAGGTGGAACCTGGGCCCTGGACCTGCCGCCCTGGGCCGGGGTCTGCGTGCAGCACACGGGGCGTGCAGCCTGGGACACTCTCCGGCTGGGCCCCTCAGGCCGAGTCACTCGAGGTCTCGGAGCCCCAGCGTTCTCGCCCGTAACTTGGGCTTATTAACCGTGCCCGCGGTATACGGTGGTTGCGAGGATTCCCTGAATTAATGAAGCCTGTAGGGTGCTTAGTAGCCTGGGACCTCATTAAACAGTCGACAGTTGTTAGCTGTTTTTTACTCAGTGACTTTTTTGTCGGTTAGGGAATAAAACCCTTAGGAAATTAATATATCCTGGCCTTTTCCTCCTTTTAAGAAATGTGAATGGAAGCATTTTATAAAGTGCTTTGCAAATATGAGTCATTTACAGAAGTAAGGTGCTATAATTAGGGATCCTAACCCTCTGATTATTTGGAAAACATGCCAGGTAAATCAAAAGGATGCTACTCTTTCTAGCATTTAGCACATTTTGTATACAGTAGGGACTCAGCTCGTATTTGTTGATTGACCTGAAAGAGGCTCATGTCTTCCCATTGGCAAACATCAAACGAACATAAAAGAGATTTTGTTAGACATGGTTGGGGGAAACAGTCTATGAATCCAGCCTCAGCTGTACCTGTAGGTGTACTTTTCAGTCTAGCTTAGATATCCCTGAGACCTTCAGCCATCCTTCTGACTCCCCTCTAGTTGCCCTTAGGTTAACCCTCGCGGGCCATGGGCCAGAGGCGTGGTGGAGAGTGGAGTGGGGACGCTTCTACACTGCCTGTCAGATCCCAGTGAGAATGACCACCTCTGCTTCCCTAGGGTGTATTTTTTTGGGAGAGGTTTTTGCTATAGGGCACCTGCACTGGCCAGACACAGAGAGACATAGAGACAGAAAGCTAGAAATCACCTCCCCCGGGGATGGTCACGCCGCAATCCCTTCTCCTCCATTCTCCTCTCTGGATCTTGGGCACGCACGCACACGCACCCAGCATGAGTTTTAAGCTACCGGGTCTGGGACACGAACCACTGTCGGCTACATGGGAGTCCAGCGACATAGCCATTACACTAACTGCTGGTACCCCTAGGGTGCATCTTGTAGTAGGCTGGAGTCTCACCTCTTTGTGAAATCTCAAGTTTACCTTCCCCTCATTCCTCTTAATTATAAGCAAAAAAATAGACAACAGTTGAGAAATACAAAGGAAGATATAACCGTATTTGTATAATGAAACAAAAAGCATTCCATCTCCTACAACCTAAGGACTTTTTAAAAAATAATTTTTAAAAGAATTATTTACTTAATTCCATTTGTTATTATTATTATTTTTTTATTTGAACACCAGAAAGAGAGAGAGAGAGAGAAAGGGAAAGCAAGAAAGCAAGCCACCAAATCCGGAACTTGAACCATGGTAGCCATGTGGGAATCCAGCGCCCTTATCCATCACACCGCCTGCCGGCTCCATGGGACAACTTTTTTGTAAACGACATCCTGATGTACAGGTGATTGTCATTTGTATATTACATATTGCCAAATTCGCCTGGCAAAAATTTATTTGTAAACTCCAAATTAATACCATGCTGCTTTCATCGTCACTCACAACATAGGCAGAGCAAAAATTTGAGTCACTCTTATTTGTTTACGCCCAGCTTACTCATTTCTTATTCTTGATTTTGTTTGTTTGTTTTTAGTTTATTTCTTCCTTTCATGAAAATCAGAGAGCATCCCCAGCCTCAGCCAGCCCTGGATCATAAGTACTTATGAGCCCACCGGACTCAGGCAGATCTCTCGACACAAACCCAGAACCTTCCCATATTGCCTAGCCTCAGAGTGTCATGTTGTACTGCTGTATCACCATCTGGTGTCTCTTTATTCTTTTTTATTTTTTTTTTAAAGAATTTATTATTTTAAAAATTTGCTATAGGGCATATGTGCTTACCAGAGAGAGAGAGAGAAAGTGAGAAAGTAAGCCACTAGGTTCAAGACTCGAACTGTGGTTGGCAGTGTTGGATTCTGGTACCTTAACCACCATGCCACCTGCTGGCCCCTTCATTTCTTTTTGGTGAAGACAGATTTTTGTTTATAAAAAAAGAAAAAATGGCAGTCGTCCCTCGGCAGCTGCCCACCTGCATGCCTTTCTGGCTTGGAGGTGTACTTCTTTTTTATTAAAAATCCTCACTTTTTTATTAAAACTTCCCTTTTCCTACAAAAAAACAAACAAAAAACCCCAGTTCTATCCTAGTGTGGAAAATGCACAGGTGTTGCACCCGGCTTGAAGTTTGATTTCCACAGCTTTACTCCTATGTGACCCAGGACAAGTTACTTTTGGAACTATAGTTCCCACACTTGTAAAATGGTATTAAAAACAACTCTATCAGTGGATTCTTAGGGTTGAAGCTGGTTATGTGTGTAAAGTATCCTGGCATTAGAATGTACTCAGCCCCAAGTACTGCTGGAGACGTGACTCGTACTGTGGAAAATCTCCCCTTCCGCTCAGGGAGGCAGCAAGTAAACAGAGGCACATTGGATAGTGCTGAGGAAGGAGTGAGCCCTGGTGGAGAACTCTGTTAAAAGAAAAATAAACCAGCCAGTTTAATAGAGAAGCGTTTTAATAGAGCAAGTCTTTTAATTTTTCTTTTTTTTTTTGGAGAGATTTTCGCTATAGGGTGCGTGTGCTCGCCAGAGACATAGAGATAGAAAGCGAGAAATCACCCCCTAGGGGTTTTGGTCACACTGCAATCCCTTCTCCTCCATTCTCCTCTCGGGATCTTGGGCACACACACACACACACACACGCACCCAGCGTGAGTTTTAAGCCACCGGGTCTGGGACACGAACCGCGGTCGACTACGTGGGAGTCCAGCGACATAGCCATTACGCTAACTGCTGGTCAGTTAGCAAATTTTAACATGATTTAAATAGAGCAGTTGTTCCCTGGACTAAAGGACAACTTTGGCCAGCCTCGGAACTCGACATTTAAGTCGGCAGAACAGGAAAGTTTACCAGTAAGTGAGGAGTGAGGTAGAGAAATCTGTTGGTTACATTCTGTAGTTTGTCTGCATTAACTTGGTTTAAAAGGCAGGATGCCTATGAGTGGCGAAACCCTAGCTGCTGTGATTGGCTGTAACCTAGCAACCAGCTCAGAAAGACAGCCTAACTTGTACCCTTTCAACTTATCCATAGGAATCAAAGAGTGGGAGTACAGTGGCTATTTTAGGCCAAAATAGTTTAACAACTTGGAGATTGGGGGGGAGGTGGGGTTTACTGGCTTTTCGAAGAATGTGTAGAAGCTAGCCAGATCACAGGAGGGAACAGCTTGCACAAAAGTCTTGGAAATAAAAGAGCAAGCTGGGGGTTCAGTTCTGGAATTTAGGGTTTGAGAAAGAGCTGAGAATTGAGACTGGCAACTTGGTGAGGGCCAGACAGGATCCTTCATCCCATTGAGAAGTTTGTTGCTTATCCTGAAGGAACCACTAAAGGATGATGAGGCAGGCTTTTGTCTCTGAGCTCAGTCTGACTTCCACATGGAAGGCAATCTATATTGGGTTGTTGGTAAAGTTGTATTTTTATGTAAAAAAATGTAAAGGAACATGAGGTTCTTTATAGCCTAACCTTTGCATTCTGTTTTTCTGGTCATCTCTCCAAATTCTAGGTCCCTAGATTAGTTTTTCTAACATGCAATATTCTTTGATACACATAATCTTGTACTTTACATAGAAAAAATACATCATGGCTTGGGACCAGCAGTTAGTGTAATGGCTATGTCGCTGGACTCCCACGTAGTCGACTGCAGTTCGCATCCCGGACCCAGTGGCTTAAAACTCACGCTGGGCACATGTGTGTGCGTGCCCAAGATCCCGAGAGGAGAATGGAGGAGAAGGGATTGCAGCGTGGCCATCCTCCCTGGGAGGTGATTTCTCGCTTTCTGTCTCTCTGTTTCTCTCCGTCTGTCTGGCGAGTGCAGGCGCCCTATAGCAAAAACCTCCCCCCCCCAAAAAAAAAATACATCATGGTTTTTCCAACCCAGTAAAGTTGGGAGAAGGGTGAATTGCATTCGAACAGCACAAACTGAAGTGTTGAGAAGGGCTGGTTTGATTTCACATGTCAAAGAGAATGAGTGGGCCTGGCAACCAGTTGGTTGAGGGAGGGCAGCAAGATCTGATGAAGTTTACAACAACTCTTCCTGTAAGACAGCACAGCAGGTAGGTACTGGGGGTGGGGAGAGGATTTTGGTTCATCTTTAACATTTTAAGAGGGGTGTGTGGGGCATCCCAATGTGTCTGCTAGGCAAGTTGGGCGCACTATGCAGATTGGACTTTATGGGAGGACTGGTATTTGAAGGTGTGGAAAGGACTTAGGGGACCCACAAAGAAGATTCAGAGAATTGTAATTGCAAAAATCAATTTTCAAATGGATGTCTTCTAATGTGTTTATAAGCTGAGGGCAAGTACCCAGCTGAGAGGGTGTGAAGATCTAGGAGAGGAAATGATGGTTGATTTATTAAAAACAAAACAGAACACCTGACCACTTGTAGGCTCTGGGGTTAGTCTCTTCTGTAAGGATGGCTCAACACATTCTTCGTTGAAGAGAAATTCGATTATTATCTGCATCTCATTTAGGTGTAGAAACTGTTCTGTACCTCCAGAGGCACTTTACTTACAGTAATAGAAACCAAAAAAAAATGAAAGGTAAGAAGGACTTCAGAGTCAAGGCTAGGATACGTGATCTTGCCTAGTGTTTCACATTGAATAAGGAGAACGTGCTACAGACCCCATTCTCTTTAGATTTCCTTGACTGAACATTATCTGTCGCGTTCAGTGGGTCTGTTGCAAATTTTAACTTCCTAGATATTGCCCATTCATCCTTGATTACATACTACCTGGACTGTTGTGTGAGCTCCTAGCTGGTTTTGGTGCCCCTGAACTCAGTTTCACTTGGTTCACCTGCCTATTTTGGTTTGATCTAAAAGGAAAAGACAAGCTTAAAATAACGCCTGTAGTGACTGGTCTGGTCTGCACAGGACCAGCACCTGTTAGGTGCACAGCTTGTGCTCCGCAGAGAGGCACTGAAATCCAACCTGTGCTCTGCCAAGCCCCCTGAGGCTAACTGACCCTGAGGAAGGGATGCTTTTACCCAATTATTCCTTTTATCTAATTGGTCCTTTAGCAGTGAAGCACTGTTCTCTAGCCTGCTAGGTGCACCCTCAATATGCCAGTGGTAGCCCTGGTCCTCATCACCTGTGAGATAAAAGCCAACTCTCCTCCAGGCTTGGGTCAACGTTATTGTTTTAATTTTCAGCTCTCCTTCCATGATCCCTGTGGGCTTGTCTTCCCTATCTGCAGTACTTACAGTGCCTGGCAGGTGACAGACATCACCCACTGTGGCCCCTCATAGTCATTCACTCTTTGTAGATTCAACTTTGGGGATGTCTGGAAGCCATTCCTTAGGTGCAACTTTGTTTCCATAAGGACCTCTATGAACATAGTGTATGAATCTGTAGCTTCTGTGGTTTTGAGTTTACAGATGCCCCTCAAGAGAACTTTTAAGAGTATGAGTCATTTCTTTTTTACATTTATTTTTATTTCTTGAGAGAAAGAGAAGTTCTCAACAGGGTCTGTTGAAGGACCCTGCAATCTTTCCCGCAGCCTTCCAGCCAGCAAAGACTGCAGGCATGACTTGTCAGCTCAGAATCTGACCTCGGGCCTCGCATATGGCTCCAGTAAACTACAGGTCGTCCTCTTGCCACCTGTGCCACTGCAGCTGAGCTGGTGTGGGTCACCTCTGTGTCTTAGTACAGAACAGATGCTTTTTCAATGATGATAAACCTTATGATTAAAATCACTAATCTTATACATTTCTTTAGGTTGTGACGTAGGTAAGGTTTGCAGAAATCGGGTTCCTGCGATACGATCCAAAGATGTGACCTTCCAGTTGTGTAAAGCTCTTAAAGGCTGTTTAAGTGCATCCACTGTGCTAAGGAATCTGGAGTTAAATGGACTACTTCTGAGAGAGAGAGATTTAACTGTTTTAACAAAGGTAAGCCTTCCCCACTCTGGCCTGCAAACCTTTGATCATTGTTTTTGGTGGGAAAATAGTAACATTTTAACTTTTTCTCCCCATTAAAGGGCTTGAATAAATCGACGACTTTGGTGCACCTGTCTCTTGCAAATTGTCCAATTGGAGATGGAGGTTTAGAAAGTGAGTTCAGATGTTTTTTGACTCTTATCCATCAGACTGGTCTTATGTTTCCCTGCATGCCACGTTAATTCCTGCCTGTACCTCGCCCTAGCTGCCGCTCTATCTGAACTACCTCCTGAATATGGATAAACCTTGGTCCTCAGGTTGCTCCACGGCCTGATGGTTAGGGTCTGACTCTCACTTGGCTGACCACATGGTTTGAGTTTCAAACTTTGTGGCTTGAGAAACATGCAGGGCACATGTGTATGTATGCCCACACTCCCCAAAAGACGGAGTGAGGGAGGAGGAGTTGCCGCCTGACCATTCCCCATGGGGGTGCTTCTTTCCCTCGTTCTCTTTGTCTCTCTGGCAAGCACATGAGCCTTCTAGCAATAAAGGAAAAATAAACTGAAAACCTTGTTCCAGTCTTCTCCCATGAAAACTTTTTATACTGAATACTCTGAACTAATTTTAGTTAACATTGTGTTGAGACATACCACACAAATATATACTGTTTGGTATTCTCTGTTTTTGTTCATCTTTATTTTTGAAGAGGAGGGTTTTTATTTATTTATTTATTTTTTTGCTATAGGGTGTGTGCGCTCGCCAGACAGACAGAGACAGAAAGCAAGAAATCACCCCCCAGGGGGAATGGCCACGCCGCAGTCCCTTCTCCTTCATTCTCCTCTCGGGATCTTGGGCACGCATGCACACGTGCCCGGCGTGAGTTTAAGCCACCAGGTCTGGGACTCGAACTGCGGTTGACTACATGGGAATCCAGCGACATAGCCATTACACTAACTGTTGGTCCCTGTTTTTGTTCATCTTTTAGGGCTTTTCTTTAATAAATATTTATGGAAAGAGCAATAGCAAGAGATAGAGAGAAAGAAAAATCATTGTTTTTAAATAGTTAAAACATCTGTAGCCAAACAATTTTAATGTACAGTGGATGTGTTAAAATAGAAAATACATGCAGGGTGCTGTGGGACCGTATAAAAGGCCACCAAACTTGGGGGGGGGGTCATGAAAGTAACCACAAAAGGTATCTTGATGAGCGTTTGAAGAATTAGTTAGTGTTAGTTGCATGAAGTAGTGCACTGGAGGGGTAAGGAAGCCTGAAATTCAATTTGAAGGCACAGTGCATTTGAGATCCTCTATTTTCTGTTGTTCTAAAAACCCAGCTAAATCCTGGGTTTTTAGTTGACTCTTAAATTGTTGATTGATAATTAGGAATGAAGTATGTAGTTGGAAATGTTTGGTACCAGAAGTGTTTTGGATTTAGGATTTTTTAAAATATATTGAAATGTTTCAGTACACATGAGTGAATATCTTGGGTAGGGAACCTAAGTGTAAACACAGAATTTGTTTCTGTTTTATATGCACCATCTACACATTACCTGAAGGTAATTTATGTATTGGGTCGTCAGGAAAGTCATGATGCATTTTTGCATAGAAAAACATATAAAAATACGTCATGACTTTCCCAACAACCTATTATTTTTATACTGCAGCATTTTTACTGTGACCCTGTCACATGAGGTCAGGGATTTACCATTTGTGGCATCATGTTGGCATTCAGAAGCTTTGGATTTTGGAGACCAGCGTATGGTGTAATGGTTACGTCACTGAACTCCCATAGCCGACCACAGTTCAAGTCCTGGACCTGGACTCTTGAAACTGACACTGGACGTATGTGCTTGCATACCCCAAATCTCGAGAATGGAGGTGAAGGGATTGTGGTGTGGCCATCCCTCCTGGGGGGTGATTTTTCACTTTCTGTGTCTGTGTCTCTGGCAAATGCACATGCCCTATAGTAAAACAAAACAAATCTCTTAAAAAAAGAGAGAAAAGTTTGGGATTTTGGAGCATTTTGGATTTTGGATTTTTGTATAGGAATGCTCAACCTATGTAGTACTTTACTGTGTAGTTGAGAATAAGTTTGCAACATTCAGAGTATTCAATTTCAGGATCTAACTAGAATTAAATTATTGTTGTAAACTGGAATAACACTCTTACTAACATACTCTAGAATGTACCAGCTCATCAGTGTTTGGGAAGATCGTAGAGTGATTTTGAGAATACAGCTATAAACTATAACAGATAAAAGAAAGGTGAATAAGTCAAGACTGGCCAGGTGGTAGAGGCTTTTCATCTTATTCTGTGTGTGGCTTTTTTTCCTTTTAGTTATTTGTCAAGGCATAAAGAACTCTGTCACTCTTAAGACAGTCAACTTCACGGGATGTAATCTGACATGGCAGGGAGCAGATCACATGGCCAAGATCTTAAAGGTGACTTTATGTTTAAACTTTCATGAAGAGGTATTATGTGATTGAAGCACATTATTCATTTGATACAAGATGGCAATTATTTTTATCTTTTGATGCTTATTGTGACTGCAGTTTCAGTTTTGTGGCAAGAATGTAACCAGTTTTTAGCTTGGGGTTCTATGATTTACTAAGTATAATACTCTTTATCTTAGAAATTAAAGATTTAGGGCCAACAGGTAGCATGGTGGTTAAGGTGCTGGATCCCACATGGCTAACTGTAGTGTGAGTCCTGAATCCAGTGGCTTGAAAATCTTAAGAGGAGAATGAAGAAGAAGGGTTTGCGGTGTGGCCATCCCCCCAATGGAGTAATTTCTCTCTTTCTCTTTGTCTGTCTTTGGTGAGCACACATACCCTGTAACAAAAAACTAAAAACAAAATGTTTTTGAAAAGAAAGAAATAGAAAATTAAAATATAATACATCATGAACAATACTTGTGTGTATTTTTAGTTGTTGTAAATGTTTATTGTAGCTCTGACAGAAACATGCAGTTAACATTTCTCAACTGGCTTAAATAACTCAAATATGTAATGTTAACTGCTGTAGTTTATACACTAACAAAAATCACATTAACATTTTGTAAATATAATTTTTAAAACACTTTTAATGATGCCTTAACAACTTTATAGAAGTTATAACTACTATATTTAGGCCTAAAATTACCTAATCACTTGAGACAAAGCCTTTTTAATAGTTTAGTGGTACAGATCAGGGATAGGCATATTATTGCCGTGGTCCAAATCCAGCCTATCCCCTATGAAGTTTTTTTGGAACACAGTCATGCCCATTTGTTTATATAGTAGCTGTGACTACTTTCCTCCCACATTAGAAGAGTTGAGTGGTTGGGAAAGAAACTATATAACCACAGAACTGAAAATGTTTACTCTGGGGCCTTTACAAAGTCCTAATCTCTGGGATACAGAGTGGTCGGAAGCACAGATTCTGAAGCAGAAAGCCTAGGTTAAAATCCCAGTTCCCCACTTAATATCTTGATACTACGGACACATCGCTTAGCTTCTCTGTGCCTCTGTTTCCTCAACTGTAAAATGTGTATAATCAGAAAACCTAGGAGCCAGCACGTGGCTTAATGGTTACATTGCTGGACTCCCACATGGCCAATCACAATTCGAGTCCCAGACTTGAAACTCATGCTGGGCGTATGTGTGTGCATAGCCAAGAACTTGAGAAGGGGTTGTAGTGTGGGCATCCCCCAGGGGGTAATTTCTCACTTTCCCTCTCACTGTCTCTGTTTCTCTCTGGCAAGTGCACATACCCTAAGGCAAAAACTTCTCCAAAAAAGGAAACCTACCTCATCACCATTCCGAGGATTTAAGGATTAAATAAACTATTTTGCATGAATGGCACCTGGCACATAATAAGCATTAGCGAGTGTTAGCTGTTATTTCCTCTTGTTTTTACAGTTTTGTTTTTTTCTTCTTTATTCATGACAGAGCCTATGCACATGCTCACGAGAGAGAGGGGCACCCTCTAAAGGGTCTGGTCACACCACAGTCCTCTTTCTCCTGTTTTCCAGCCCGTGGGAACCTGGGCACTTGCATCCGTTCCTGGAGTGTTTCGTGATGAGCAGCCTGAAATTCAAACTGCAGTTGCCATATGGGATCAGGCTTCCCTTGAATGGCATATTATTCTATTTCACACACCCAGCGCTATACAATTATTTTTTATAGAAAAATGACACTGTTCTGCTTTAAAAGTGTCATAGGAGCTTTGAATCTTCTGTTGTTCAAGAATGTAATAAGATTTTTTTAAAGCTAGTGTTTCCTTTTACCAAAATTCACTTTAATGAGTATAAAAAGCTCATTATATGTCTTTAAGATAGATGGTATGTGTGGGTAAAAATCAAAACATCAGTTTCTAAGGTATATCACACTGACTTTGTATAGTCTGGGCCTGTGAAGTTGGCATACATATTCCAAGAAATATGTGAAACTCTTTGGGTTAGGAGAAGAAAATACTGAAACCGCTATATTTTTGTATCATTTTAAACACATCTGTTGTTTTTGTAGAGTTTATAATGACATAAAATATGTAGATAGAACTTTCTAATTTATTAATAAATACACATGGAAAAACATGCCCTTGCCAAATGTTTGAAAACCATGGGGATAGAATAATAGAACTTAGACGCTCAGCAGTCACAGAATTTAAAACCAATTATTTGACTTGGCAGATAAGGGAAAAACATTTTTAGAAATTAATTGAAATTGTCAGTTTATGTAACCAATCAGCAGTAGGTGATCCAGCGGTCAAAACGACACAAGTAGTCAGTGGGAGACCAGGATCTGGTCACCAGACTTGTACACCAGAATCTTCTGCGTAATTCCTCAGGTGCTGACTCTCTTGGCATATATGGGAGGGACCGTAAAAAGATTTCAGGTATTTGTGTAACAAAATAAACTTTTTTTTTTTGTTTAGAGATTTTTGCTATAGAGTGAATGCACTCACCAGAGAGGAGAGAGGCAGAGAGACAGAAAGCAACAAATCATCCTCCCGGGGGATAGCAATGCCACAGTCCCTTCTCTTCCATTCTCCTCTTGGGATTTTGAGCACACATGCATATGTGCCCGCTGTCGTGAGTTTCAAGCTGCCGGGTACAAGACTCGAAGCATAGTCAGTTGTGTGGGAGTCCAGCATTAAAACCACTACATTAATTCCATTTTTCCACCAACTTTTTTTTTTTTTTTAATATGCCAGAGGGTGTGCGTGCTCACCAGGGGAGACAGGGAGAGGAAGAAAACTCCCCCATGGGGAATGGCCACCCTGCAGTCCCTTCTTTTCTATTACTTCCTCCTTTTGGGATTTGGGGTGTGTTCTCATGCACATGTAGCCAGCATGTTTTTCAAATTGCTGGATTTGGGACTCAAGCCACATGTTTGGCCATGTGGAATGCAGCTCCCTTAACAAGCAGGCCACAGACTGACCTTCATCAGCTTTTTGAAGTCCCTCTAGACCTGTGTGTGTGTACAGCCCTGACATCACAGTTTACCTCTTAGTTTCTCTGTTTTCTTATTTGAGTGTCCTTAATTTCATCCTTAAATCTTTGAAGTATCAGACTATGAGAAGGCATGAAGAAACCTGGGCTGAGAGTCTTCGCTACAGGAGACCTGATCTGGACTGTATGGCTGGCCTAAGGCGGATCACATTGAATTGTAACACGCTGGTTGGTGACCTGGGCGCGAGTGCTTTTGCAGACTCTCTCAGTGAGGATTTATGGCTTAGAGGTAAGGGAAATGGACTTCGGAATCTGAAAATGACAAAGTTTTAAAATACTACATAGGCTTAACTCTTGGCACAGTGAGGTAGTCAGATTTTCAAGGCCTCTTTTTTCCTAATAGTTTTTGTTGTTCTTTTACTATTTTATAAAAGTTACAGGTATTTATAGAAAATGGGATCAGGAAAACAATATTACCCATCTTCTTAATACCTGGAGATAATTGTTGTTCATTTTGGCATATATACTTTCTTTTTTTTTTTTGGAGGGGTTTTTGCTATAGGGTGTGTGTGCTCGCCAGAAAGACAGAGAGACAGAGAAACAGAAAGCGAGAAATCACCCCCCAGGGGGATGGCCACATCACAATCCCCTCTTCTCCATTCTCCTCTCAGGATCTTGGGCACGCATGCACACGCGCCTGGCATGAGTTTAAGCCACTGGGTCCAGGACTTGAACCACTGTCGACTACATGGGAGTCCAGCGACATAGTCATTACGCTAACTGCTGGTCCCATGGCATATATACTTTCAATCTTTTTCTCCCTATAGATATATTGGGTCGTTGGGTAAGTTCTGATGCCTTTCTACATAGAAAAATATGTCATGACTTTCCCAACAACCTAATAGTCCACTTAGATTTCAAAACAGAATTATACTACTTTGTAACCCTACTTTTTTTTTTTTTTTAACTGCATGGTGTATCTTGAAGTATTCCATTATATTGTAGACTTTTGATACATGTTGCCAAACTGTCTTCCAAAAACATGGCACCATTTATTATTCCACACTGCCAGTGTATGTAAGACTCTAATAAACACTGGGTTATATCAATGTTTAAACCTGCCAGAAATGCAGACCCCCCCCTTTTATTAATGCAAGTAAGACTGCTTTCTAAATACTATAGCTGTTTTTAATCAATATGCAATAACACGAGGATCTTAACAAATCAGTTAATTTATATCTAGTACATGATTTTTAGTGACTGTGCCGAGTTCCTTCATAGGAATAGTATACTATTAACATACCGTAGTATACTTGGTTTATTCATTCTTTTTACAACTATAAGCATGTCCAGATTTTCACTGTTATAAGTAATATTTTGATACTTATGCTTGCCCACATCTCTGATTATTTCCTCTAGATAAATTCTTAAATGAAGAGTTGCTGGGTTAAAGAATATACACATTTTAAAGACTTGTATTACATATTTAAAAGACTGGATGTGATGGGAAAATCACATTTTATTATTTTAATTTGTATCCATGTGACTTAATTTGTGAGATTCACTGACTGTTTTTACTAATTGAGCTTGTCAGATAATTGTGTTCTATCCTCCTCCTATGGTAAGAGTGTAAAGGTTGGACCCTTTTCTGTCAGATCCATTTGTCTGAGTTACTATTTCTCTTTGTCATGGGATCTTGGTCACTTCAGTCTACAGTAACAGAATACCACAGGCTGGATGGCTTCAATGACAGACATTTACTTTTCATTGAAGGCTGGGAAGGCCAAGATCAAGGTACCAGCAGATTCAGTGTTGGTAAGGACGTTCGTCCTGGTTTGCAGGTAGCTAGCCATCTTGTGTTATCCTGAACTGGTGGGGAGAGAGAGCACTCCTAGTCTCTTTCTCTTCTTACAAAGACACTAATATCATCATAGGGTCTTATCTCAAGAACTCAGCTAAGCCAAATTATCCCCCAAGGCCCCACCTCCTAACACCATCTCACTGGGGTCAAAAGTTTCACAGTGTGAATTGGTGGTGGGAGGAAGACACAGCATGCAGTCCATAGCAAGTTTTGAAAGACTTTAGTTATTTCAATGTAATGGCATACACAGTGCTTAAAAAAAGAGGCTCATGGAATCAGGAGATGACATAATGGTTACATTGCTGCATTCCCATGTAGTTGGAATGTGGCTCGAGACCTGGACCTGGTGACTTTAAACTCGTGCCAGGCATATTTGTGTGCGTGCTCAAGATCCCAAGAGGAGACTGGACGAGAAGGGATTGCATTGTGACCATCCCCACTGGGAGGTGATCTCTTGCTTTCTGTCTCTTCAGCGAGCACACTTGCCCTATAGCAAAAATCTCTTTAAAACAAAAACAAAAACAAAACGAGGCTCATAATTATATTTTCTTTTTTAATCTTTTTATACTTGTGCTTTTGTATGATGACCCCTTTGGGTTTAAATGACTTTGTTCAACTGTGGTACTACTAGTGTGTGTGAGCATCTGTTCTATTCTCTCTTGTTTTACTGAGAGAGAGCTCTTAACCATCTTTGTTTCTGGTTTTTAGCATATAATATCTAGTCACACATTCTTTGTATCCCTTTAGACTTCTTCCTTTGTCGTTTTTATTCTGAAACTAACAGTTCTTACATTTCTGCTCTTCCTCCTCTTTTCTTTAAGAGAGATTTTTTTGCTACAGGGCATGTATACTCACTGGAGAGACAGACAGAAAGCGAGAAATCACCTTCTAGGGGGGTTGGCCATGACATAATCCCTTCTCCTCCGTTCTCCTCTTAGGATTTTGGACATGCATTCACATGTGCTTGGCGTGAGTTTTAAGCTGCCAGGTCCAAGACTTGAACCACAGTCGACTATGGAAGTCCAGTGATGTAACTATTATGTCATCTAGTTCCTTCCCCCCCCCCTTTTTAAATGTAGTTTTGTTTTTGTTTTTGTTTTGGAGAGATTTTTGCTATGGGGCGCGTGCGCTCGCCAGAGAGACAAAGAGACAGAAAGCGAGAAATCACCCCCCGGGGGGATGGTCATGCTGCAATCCCTTCTCCTCCATTCTCCTCTTGGGATCTTGGGTACACACGCACACGCGCCCGGCATGAGTTTTAAGCCACCGGGTCCGGGACGCGAACCACGGTCAACTATGTGGGAGTCCAGTAGTCCAGTGACATAGCCATTATGCTAACTGTTGGTTCCTTAAATGTAGTTTTTTGAAGGGTCATTTGGAATTCAAGATTATAATTAAAATGATACCTGTAATTTCTCGACTCTATCCAGTTTTTGCCTGTGAGATTTATACTACCGTTAGCCTTTTTGCTAATTATGGTCTAATATTCATTCTATCATGTTTTTCTCTCAAAGATATGTGGAGATACTCTTCAATTCAGTTGTAAAATATGTTAGGCGATTTATTTTTTTGACTATGAATGCATATATGCTTTTCTATTTTTATTTTTTCAATACCCAAGATTAAAAACCTGCCATGACTTATCTTAAGCAGGACTCTTCCAGGTGTGAATAAGTGAGGATTGTCTATAAAATCTGTATAGAGTTGTAAAGTGACCTTTCATCTTCTGTCAAAAGCACTTGACCTGCAACAGTGTGGCCTCACCAATGAAGGAGCAAACGCTTTACTAAAGGCTCTTGAAACCAACAGGACTCTGGTGGTGCTGGATATAAGAAAAAATCCACTCATTGGTATGTCATCACATTTTTTTAAATTGATTGATAAAGAATTCACATAGTTACAGTTTTTAAAACAATGCATTTCTTTTTCTAATCTTGCACTGCCGTGTTTAGTAGATAATTTACTGACTAAAGTGAGTTTTAATTTTAAATTGCTCTTGGCCACTACTGTGAACCTAGATAATAAAACTGTTTATACCAAGAGCATTATTTCTTTCTTGTGGGACCTCGTTGGTTACCTTGAAAAGTAATTTTGAATACTTCTAAGTTCCAGACACTGGTTTCTTCACTGAATATGTAGCAGTAAACCAGTAGACAGTTGCCCTCAAGAAGCTTACATTCTAGGGGATGAGTTCAGACATAAATGAGTAAACTGATAAATAATGTAATGTAATGTGTAATGTAAGTTTAGGCAGTAGGAAGTACAAAAATAATCTTAAGGCCTGAAGACAGATGGAGACAGGAACAGTGTATTAGTTAGATAGGTTTGCTAGGGGATGGTGTATTTGTTAGATAGGTTTGCCAGGGGACAGTGTACTAGTTAGATAGGTTTGCTAGGGGACAGTGTATTAGATAGGTTTGTTAAGAGACAGTTTAACTGAAGAAGTGACCGACGAGGAGAGACCTGGGATAAGAGAAGAACAAGCAATGGAAAATCCAAAGGAAGTATGTTCCAAGATGAGGCAGTGAGTATGTCGGTACATAGGGGCAGGGTGGGTGGAGTGTGTAAGGAAAAGCACAGAGGCCAACATGGCTGCCACACTGAGCAGGGAGCACCTGCTATGCTGTGAGGCCAGACAGCTATGTAGAGGCCTGATTTGAAAGGCCTCTAAGGCCAGAATAAGGCCTGGAAGTATTTTAGATGTGCCAGAAGCCATGGGAGGGTTTTGAGCTGGAAAAAAAGGTTTGATCTGATTAATATTTTCAAGTAGAAGAACCTGGTGTAGAAAATAGACTTGCAGGGAGAAATGAAGGGAAACAGGGAGACCATGTAGACTAACAGCCCAATGGAAGATGGTCATGGCTTAGCTTAGGCTGGAAGGATTGAGTTGGGGAAAAGTGGTTGAAGCAAGGCAGAGTTAACAAGGTTTGCAGATAGATCGGATGGATGTCGGTGTGAAGGAAGTAGTAATCTTAAGAAAGCCCTAGATAATTATGCATATAATTGAGTGGTACCATTTGCTGAAGAAAAGGAGAATGGGGAGGGGAGCAGCTGTAAGGCTTAGCACAACTTTATTTGGCTACATGGTATATTATCAAATATCTTAGTGTCTGACAGTATCTAAGCTTTTGGTTTCCTACCCAGAGATATCCAGAGCCATCTTAGATACAGCGTATTTAGATTTGATCTTTGCTGCTGCCAAAATAGAAGCCACTGGGACAGTGTGTAAGATGGCCTGTTTTCATCTTGTTTTTGGAGAAATTAGAGAACTCAAAGGAGAAAATAGGTGTATAATTTCATAATGTGGATTTTATATTTTCTTTTATTGGGAAAGTAATAATTAGCTTTTATTTTTTAATGGGACTAGCCAGTCGTTGGAAAACAATTACTATAATTTCAGTTTTCATTTCATTTTAGATCATTCTATGATGAAGGCAGTTATCAAAAAAGTTCTCCAGAATGGAAGGAGTGCTAAATCAGAGGTATAAAATAATTTGTCTCATTGTATGTTTTTCTTATTTTTAATAAAATAAAATTGTGAGGCACTTTTCTGCCATCTTAATTTCTGTCAAATCAACTAGCTTTACTGTTTTTTACAGTGTTGTATGATTCTTTAATTTGGGGTCCCAGAACTGCAGATTGCAAAACTTTTGTTTTTACCTTAGTATATCTTAATAGTCCCCAGTTAAGATCAAACCCTTATAAATTACTTGTAACTGAAGTGGAGTATTTGTTATTTTTCTTCTAGTACCAGTGGATAACTTCTCCATCAGTGAAGGAACCACCCAGAACTGCTAGGCAGAAAAAAAAAACTATAATTCTAGGAAGTGGTCGAAAAGGAAAAGCTACTATTAGAATTGGTAACCCTTTTTGTCTTTTTGTTTGTTGGTTTGTGTGCACTGTGATGACAGTTACCGCATTGCTTTTGAATGATAAAGAAATATTTATTTATTTATTTGGAGAGGGTTTTGCTATAGGGTATATGCACTTGCCAGAAATACAGAGAGATAGAAAGCGAGAAATCACCCCCCGGCGGGGGGTGCGGGTGGGGGTGGGTCATGGCCACACTGCAACCCCTTCTCCTCCATTCTCCTCTCACGATCTTGGGCACACGCACACACTTGACTGGTGTGAGTTCAAGCTACCGGGTCCAGGACTCAAACTGCCGTCGACGACATGGGAGTCCAGCGACATAGCTATTATGCCAACTGCTGGTCCCTATATATATATAATATATTATATATACACACACACACACATTTGTGTGCACTGTGCATATACACTGTGTGTGTGTGTGTGTGTGTGTGTGTTTTTTTTTAAAGAGAGATATTTGCTATAGGGCATGTGTATTCCCCGGAGACAGAAAGCAAGAAATCATTCCCCACTCCCCGTGGGGGAGGGTGGGGAAGGATGGCTCTGCCTCAATTTCTTCTCCTCCAGTTTCCTCTAGGGATTTGGTCATATACGCACACATACATAGTCTGAGTTCCAAGTTGCTCGAATAGCTGTTTGCCATGTGGAAGTCTAGCAGCGTAACCATTATGTCATCTACTTCTCCCACAGTAATTTTTTTTTTTTAAATAAAAAATTATGATTTCATGGTTTCATTTTTCCCTTTTGTTCTCTTCTTTCTTGCAAATTCTTACCCAAAGGTATTAGATAAGGTAAATTCTTACATTTAATAATAAAAAAGGGCCAGCCAGTGCCATGGTGGTTAAGGTGGCTAGATCCAATATGACTAACAGTGTGGTTAGAGTTCTGGACCCATTGGCTTAAAAAATGCACTTGTTGCATGTACGTGCATGCCCCAAAGCCTGACAAATGGAAGAGAAGGGATTATAGCATGACTATCCTCCATGGTGGACGCTCTCTCACTCCCCCTGAACCCCAGTGAGCACACATAACTGCCAACAAATTTTAAAAAAGGATAAAAACCTTAATATATATATAATATTTATAAAACAATGCCACAAACACGTTTATTGACCTTAGAGAGAACATTTTAGAAAAATAATTTTCTAAGTGTTATGATAATGTATATTTAATTTTCCAAATTATAGTTTGCCTAAAATTAAGTCTAATTTTGTGACCTAGTATACTAAGAGGGGAAAAAAAAAAAAAAAAACTTTATGAAACTCCTAACGGGAACCAGCAGAATGGCGTAATGGTTATAATACTGGATTGCCACATGGCCCTCTGTGATTTGAGTCCTAGACCAGGCAACTTGAAACAGGCTGGGTACATGTGCATGCTGCCTAAAATCCTGAGAGACGAATGAGGAAGGGATTGCGGCACAGCCACCCTCCCCTAGGAGGTGATTTCTGTCTCTCCAGTGAGTGCACGTGCCCTATGGCAAAAACCTCTCTGAAAACAAAACAAAAACTCTTTAACAACAATGACATAAGTTTCACATTTTCCTGAATATATAAATTTGGTACAGACTAGTTGCTCTGATTTTTTAGATTATTTATAAAGAGTCTTTAACTTTTATTTTCTAGAACACATTATCTTTAGCCACAAATAATCTTTGTGTATGTGTGTGTGTGATAAGAATGCATGACAAAGTAAGTTAAGCCAAATCTAATATAAATGTTTTCTTATAAGTAACTGAATTTTGAAACAGTGAAACCATAAGGAGTAATACAGAGGAAACAAAATAAAATTTTTGGTTATAATCAGTTTGCCAGAAAAAGGGTTTGTGGTGGCTTTAGCTACCATGCATATCCAGTAGGATTAGCAGATGAGGGCTGGTACCATGGCCTGCTGTTTAGGGGAGCCAGATCCCACACGACCAACTATACAGTTCAAGTCCAGGATTCAGTGGCCTGGTACTTGAACTGGGTGACAAAAAAGAATCGTGAAACAACTAACAAATAACCTCTTATTTGGATGCTACCTGAAATTTAAAACATCCTTGCTTGACTTAATAGCTCTGGACTGTACATTTAAACGTCGTTAAGATAGAGGCCCAACCCTGCACTGCAGTGGTTAAGTGCTGTGTACTCGGAGCCGGATCCCACATGGCTGACTACAGTTTGAATCCCCACCCTGCAGAATCGAGAAACGCATGAGTATTTATGCATGGGTGCCCAGAATCCTGGTGAAATGGGGGAGAAGGGATGGTGGTGTGACTGTGCTCCTCTGGAGGTGTGTGCGCTCGCTCGCTCTCTTTCTTTCTCTCTCGCTCTCTGACTTGAAAATAAGGGCCCTCTGGTAATTAAAAGATGGTTAAGATGGAAAATTTTGTTATATATATTTCAGTACAATTTTTTAAAAACGTTGCTTGAGTATTTTTAAGTTTTATAAAGATAATAGCATAACAGTGGAAATAAAAATAGAAGCCACTTCCAATTCCTTCTATTAAGCAATATTTATGTTTTCCTTTTTCCTCCTGTTGTCTATAAACATAGCTTCAAGTAGTTTAAATAGAACTTGGTATTTACTTTTTTCATTCCATTCCAAATTTTATTTGAATCATAACTATGCATTTTAATGCATTCACAAAGTTTCCTTTAGTTGATAAGTCATGAAAAATTGGGAATCACCAGAATATTAAATAATTTTTTAAAATACTATCGTAAATGTTTTTATGAATACAACTTCTTGTTCAATTTCCAGCCCACCTTAAAAGCTGGGAGTGTGTGTGCTTGTAGTCTCCCTACTCTGGAGGCTACTCTGGAGGCTGAGATGGGAGGATCACATCATAATGGGACTCCGTCTAAAAAAACGAAATGAAAAATTGTGTGCTTTTGATTTACTATTAACTAACTTGTTTGTAGTAAATAGTTACTATATTAAATAGTAGTTGTTAAGTGTTTATTAAATCAAACAAAAGCAATTTTTATCCGAGAAGAGTGACAGTTTAGTAGATCAAATAATATGTACAGTGATTTTGAGATTTTCATGCGAATTATTTATTATTAAAAGCTAATATCTGTGTAAAGCATTTTTTCAAAAAATCTGAATTGGTATTTTGATTTAACAGAAGTAGAAATAGGAATAATTACATAAACATATTTTTATAACAGGAACATTCTTGAAGGTAATTAAGTTAAAATACAAAAATTAAACAGCACAAGATGGGCAGAGCTCCTGTGCGTTTTAAGAAACATTTAAATCTATAAATTTGTAATAGAAATTCTACATTCTTAATAGTTGGTGTATATAACAGGACATCATTGGACGAGAATAAAAAACTTTTTTCTTAGCATGATTAAAAGAGTGTGGAAATTCTTAAGCTCACTGAGATACTTTAAGAGTAATTTTCTTGGGCCCTTTTTTTTTTTTTTTTTGCCTCAGTTATATGGAGACACAGAGGTAAGCCAAATCAGTGTCTGGCTCTGTACTTAGATTTTAGTGAGAATAGGTGATAATTTATGTCAATTGTGTCACATTCATATTGCAATTATATGTGGCGGAAAGAAGATAGAAACTTTCACTAGAATTTTTTTTAATTTAATGAAATAACTAAATTCTTTTTATTTTAATTAAAAATACCTTTGTGTTTCTAAAAGTGAAGGAAAAGGTATACACACAGGAAAGTATACAGGCTCATTCTTTGTTAGAAGGTCATTAAATTAAAGTACTAAAATTGGGCCAGCAGGTGGCATAGTTGTTAAGGTGCTGGATTCCCACGTGATTGACCGCAGTTTAAGTCCCAGACCCAGTGGCTTGAAACTCACGCTGGGGGTGTGTGTGTGCATTCCCAAAATCCCAAGAGGAGAATGGAGGCAAAGGGATTGCAGTGTGTCTATCCCTTCTGGGGGTTGATCTCTCGCTTTTTGACTCTCTCCAGCACAAAAATCTCAAAAAAAAAAAAAAAAAATTAAATAGCACAAAATGGGCAGAGCCCCTCTGTATTTTAAGAAGCATGTAAGTATATCCAGAGAAATCACATAGGATCATTTGCTGATGATCAGTCAGATATACCATATGAAATATTTGTCCTGTATTACCATATATACTTTATTTTAGATGCCATCCTGTAGTGTTAAAGTACATTTTGTACTATAGTTAAATAGACTAGAAGGATTTATATAACCATTTTTTAAGAGAATTATTTTAACTCTATTTATTTTATTTTTATTATTTTTTTATTTTAATTTGACCAGAGAGAGAGAGAGAGAGAGAAAGCAATCTGCCGGGTCCAGGACTCAAACCACGGTCAGCCGTGTGGGAGTCTAGCACCTTAACCACCACGCCACCTGCCAGCCCCTATATAACCATTTTAATGACCATAAATTGTTCTCAGTGATATTATTGATATGTATTTAAATGTGTATTTTAATACATTGTTTGTTCTAAATAAAGTATTATGTGGAGTCTAGCTTTTGCTACTAAATTCTTGACTTTTCAATAATGAAATATGAGTCTCTATATTTCATTCTTTTATCCAGTAGGTCTTAGTTGTTTCTTTTGTGTTTTCCATAAAATCAAATGAGGGTAACATTGATTCATGTATCACCCAGCAACCAATATTTTTTTACACAGTAAAGTTAATCTTAATTTGAAACTTTTGTCTAATTTAGAAGATTCTGTCTGGAGACCAGCAGATGATGTAGTGGTTACATTGCTGGACTCCCACATGGCCGGCTGTGGTTGAAGTCTCTGACCCAGCAGCTTGAAATTCACCCTGGGCGTGTGTGCATGCATGCCCAAAATCTCAAGAGGAGAATACAGGAGAAGGGATTGTGGCGTGGCCATCCCCCCAGGGGGTAATTTCTTACTTTCTGTCTCTTGTCTCTTTCTGTCCCTCCAGTGACTGCACACGCCCTATAGTAAAAATCTCTCTCTTTAAAAAAAAAAAAAAAAGATTCTGTTTTGTAGGAATCATAGATATATCTATGTTTATCTATGTTTGAGATACAAAAATCTAAAAGATGTTCTGAGCGTTAATAAACTGAATATTTCTGTATGATATTTAATGGGATATATCATGTATAATATTTTATTTGGAGGGATATAGTTTTTATTTACTTTTACATGTTTTTTGCATTATTACTTCATTTTAGTTAAAATGATAGTTTGTTTTATTTTTAAGACATTGCTGGCCTATATAAAAAGATTTTTACAAATTCATGTCGTTCGCATTCTTTCAAGAATGTGCACACATGGGGGTTGGCAGGTGGTGTGGTGGTTAAGAGTGCTAGATTCCCACATGGCCGACCACATGGGGGCTTGCTTCCCCTCCTCACCCCCCCCACCCCCCCGCCCCAGTCCCTCTCCCGTCACCT